TCATCAATGCTTTCAAAAAGAATTTTGATCAAAAGCAGAACATAAGAAAAGAAACATTTTTCTTTATTTTGAGGAATACAGGCCTCCTGTAAGTTATAAAGTCCAGACAATGACAGGAATGAGTCAGCAGTCATGTCCCACTCCACTTCTGACCCTTCAGCTAAGTAATAATCTCTCAAAGGTGCTTGCTATATGGACTCTAGACTTATGAACAAGAGAAGTAGCTATAAATTAACAATGCTGCTTCCTCAACAACGTAACTAATACCTTATAGTTCAACAATGCAGAGCCAATCGTTAATCATTGCTTGGGCAAACCAAGCAATGGACCAAACCATTGTCTTGACAAACAACTTTATTGGTCCAATTCTTTTTCCCTTCTTGCCTTGAAAAACATGCTTGTAATAATGCAAAAATGTAGCTCATATCCAAGGTTACTTGGATCTGAGCCTTCCAAAGACCTATCCCTAACTTGGTTCAAGAAAACACTTTACAAATATATTTTGTGCTTTAGTTTCTTTCTTTGGGTTACCAAATTTATAAAGTGATAGTACTTGAGAATAAAGCCAAAAAGGACATTATTATCTACACCAAAACATAAAACTTGAAACAACTCAAGCCTTAAAATCTGTGGAATGGGTGAATGCATTGGGTGACCCAGACTCAAACACCAGCACATGTGCCACAGCATGAGGCACAGAAACCATAAAAACACCTTTTCAGCATAATGTTGATGGTATATGAATAGTAACTGTAAGGTACTGAAAACTCGGGAGAAGCAAAACTGAGGTGAGCACTGCTTTATGATAAATAGATGATTAAGTTACAAAGAACAAGAAAAAGGATCAGGAATGTGGGAGTCCATGTGTGATTACATTATTTTTTAAGCTCGACATTAAACAAGCAACTCATTTCAAAAATGATCTTTGCTTGTTTAGACCATGTCACTCAGCACACTCATATTTTCAGCCTAGTTAATAAAGAGCTTAAACGCCAACCACGGAATAAAATCTTTAAATACTTGGGAAAACAGGAATTATATGACAAAAAAGATTTTATAAAGTGCTCCTCCCATGGCTGGCAGGAGCAGGATGGGAAACCTGCAGCTGTGGCTCCCCAGGAAGAACTCACTGGGCCTTCCATGACCTGTCTCAGGCTCAAGACTGGCCTTAACATGGAGTCACTGGCTCAGACATTGACTTTTTGATCAGGATTATTTACATAATTTTATATAAGAAACCACACAGTTTTTAAAGAAGAGAGCAAAATCACTCAAACTCAGTGTTTATGTTTATAGAATAAAAGGAAATTCTATACAGATTATTGTTCCATGAAAAGAAAAAATAGAATAAAATGAAAGGAAAATTTAAAAATATATAAAATAAAAATTTAAAAAAAATTATAAAACAAAATTCTAAGAGGGAAAAATTCAAACCAAACCTGTTTTTCCTCCGTTCTCACAACACAATAATCAACAGAGAAGATTTCTGTGGCCAAAGGTGAGGAGACTTTTCTCTATCAAGAAGCAGGAAGGCAATTTTGCAGGAGACACCAAGTCAGCATCCTCAAACCCAGTTCAATTCCAACACTATCTACTTGGAGATGGAGGGTATTGTATTCATGTCCTTGCCAGACTCACCTCCTTCCAAGACCCCCAGATGTTCAGCTACCTGTAAGATCTCCAAATCTCATCCTTCTGAGTTTTATAGAAGCTTCATTTCATTCACATATTTAATAAATCACAGGTCATTGGTAATCAAGTTAACCTTAAGCTCCCTCTCTTCCCTGGAGGTTGGGGGTAGAACTAAAAATCCCACTCCTCTGAGTATGTGTCTTATTCCCTTGGCAACCAGCTTCCCACCCAGTGGTTTCTAGGGACTTTCCAAAAATCCCCTTATTAACATAAGCTCAAGGGTTTTAAAGAGCTTTGTTGAAAATAACAAAAGACTATCTTTCTTGGCCGGGCGCGGTGGCTCACGCCTGTAATCCTAGCTCTTGGGAGGCCAAGGCGGGCGGATTGCTCAAGGTCAGGAGTTCGAAACCAGAGAAACCAGCCTGAGCAAGAGGGAGACCCCGTCTCTACTATAAATAGAAAGAAATTAATTGGCCAACTGATATATATATAAAAAATTAGCCGGGCATGGTGGCACATGCCTGTAGTCCCAGCTACTCGGGAGGCTGAGGCAGAAGGATCGCTAGAGCCCAGGAGTTTGAGGTTGCTGTGAGCTAGGCTGACGCCATGGCACTCACTCTAGCCTGGACAACAAAGGGAGACTCAAAAAAAAAAAAAAAAAGACTATCTTTCACCTATATAGGTCAGTAGCTACCTCAGAAACCAAAGACAAAACACTAAAAAAATCTAACAAAGAATATTCTTATTGCTCTAATCACTTAGGAAATCACAAAGCTTACAGGAGCTGAGCACCAGGAATCATGGGGAAAAAAATCAAAATATATCTATTATAATATCACAGAAATTGTAAGGCACTAAAATGTCATACCTCAAGAGGAAAAACAAAAGTATATATCCCTTTTAATCAATAAACAGGTCATTTAATTATTATTTGCATGATAAATCACTTAGTAAACACATTTAGGAGTTGCCAAATTCTCACAGGATTTATAGTTAAACTCCAACATCCAGACAACAGGATACAAAACAGAGTTATCCATTGTCACAAAAAAGAGAGGACTGGATGTTTTGGTGAATCTTTGTCATTCACCAATTTTTCTACTCTACTTTCTTGTGGAAATGTATTCATTTTTCTGCAACCAAAATTGCAGAGAGATATTTTTTTCTATTTCCTTTCCCAAGTAACATTCCCAAAGCTAAGGCCTGGATTTCCCAAATCACCTCCAAATAAAAAAACAGACCTAAGGCCAGGCGTGGAGGCTCACACTTGTAATCCTAGCACTCTGGGAGGCCCAGGTGGGAGGATTGCTCAAGGTCAGGAGTTCAAAACCAGCCTGAGCAAAAGGGAGACCCCTGTCTCTAGTATAAATAGAAAGAAATTAATTGGCCAACTAATATATATAGAAAAAATGAGCTGGGCATGGTGGCGCATGCCTGTAGTCCCAGCTACTCGGGAGGTTGAGGCAGAAGGATTGCTTTAGCCTAGGAGTTTAAGGTTGTTGTGAGCTAGGCTGATGCCATGGCACCCACTCTAGCCTAGGCAACAAAGTAAGACTCTGTCCCAAAAAAAACAAAAATAAAACAGGAGGGTGGTTGAAGACACATCACCCTATAAACTTTCTAAAGAGAAACCTCAACCCAAAGACATTTTGCTAAGATGTCTGTGCCTAGGGAAGATGAGATGGAGAGGGGTGAAAAACTGTTAAACCAGAATGCCAAGTGAATGTTCTCTCATTTACTCATGTGAAATGTTCAGAAACACAAATATTTTAAAAAGAACCACCCACTGCTCTGTGAAAAAGTATAAACAATTAAAATACTCCAACTCTTTGAAAAGTATAATTAAGGACCAATAGTGATTAATGTGAACTGGTGAGAAGTTGATATTTGGGGGTGTGGGGTGGGGGAGGAACTTAGAAATTTAGGATTTTACTGCAAGTCCTAGGAGAGTTAAGCTAGGGGATCAGAGTGGTGGATTTGAGATTCTGCTTGCCATATATTTCGAAAATGCAGGGAGAAATAAGCCCCTCTGTGGAGTGTTACATTAACTGAATGATTGGCAATTAGACTAAACTGACTCTTGTGCCCTGGCCTCCTACCTAAGAATACTGACATCTAACGCAAATGCATTTTTTGTAAATTACTAACTTAGGAACAAAATCTATGCTTACCCAGCTACAAACTACCAATTAACTTCTGATTCTTAGGGTCAGAAAAACAAGTGAGAGATAATGGAAACTGGAACAGGAGAAATGAGAAAACATTTATAGAAAAACTGTAAGGAGGAAATGGTTGCAAAAAAATAAAAAGAGGAAACAGTTGTTTGAGTCTTCAAGAATGGGGTAATTAGGCCATGGAACACTGACCAACAGGGAATGAAAAAACACTACAAACGGTTATGGAATTTTCCTCAACAATCATACTCTAGGAAGAATTACTGGAACATAACCTTTAAGTTATGTCCAAACATAGAATCCGATCCCCAAAACAGTGACATACAATTGTGAATAATTATAACTAACCTTTAGCTAAGCCTAACAATTAAAAGGAAAAACAAAGAAATAGCGTCTTCTCCATTTGTTGAGACAGACCCCATTTCCCCTCAGGAAATGTACTTTCACGTTGCACCCTTACTTTACTCAAATAAATTACTCACGAATACTTGCTGAGTGTCTGCCATCTCTCTCCGTTGCACAGGGCCAAGACCTGCAATTCCCCAAAGCCAGGAGCCCAAGAACTGGGGCAACACTTCAAAGTCCAGCCGTGGACCGGACTGTGACATGATTACATAACCAGAAGGTAGCCACCATCATACTCCAAAAAAAGCGACTACAAAATTACAACAAATCAATTATTGAATTTGGTTTGCTTCCTCATGCACCTCATAAAAGCCTTTCCCCTCAATCCACTGCTGGGGACCCCCAAACACAATCAATCTCTGGGGACTTCCTGACTCATAAATCGCTGTTTGCTCTAGTAAGCCCTTTAATGTTTCAATGTTACCTTGGTTTAATTTTAAACGGAGAAAGGACAGGCTGGGGACCCCATGGACCCCGCCACTGACTCAGGATTCTCCCCGATGACCCTCTTGTCTTTACTGAATAACCTGGAGGAGAGGCGGCGCTGTGGCCGCAGAGCTGCCCGCAGAGGGCTCCCGGCCGCGTGAAGTCACCTGTGGAAGGGTCAGGACACCCAGGGTCCTGGCTGTGCTTCTAGCCCCCACCCTGCGGCCAGAGGGGCCCAGGGCCGAGCCACCAGCGGGGACTCACGTCCGCAGACTCCGGAGCCGACGCCGGGAGGCCCGGGACCGGCCGCCGCACGTTCAGGTCGGTTCCAACCCCCCAGGACAACCAGCCACACACACTCACAATTTTCTGCCTTCCGTGTTGTCCCGGCATCCTGCCGACAGATCTTGCAGTTCCTGAAGGTCACGGGGCGGCAGAGGCTGCGGCGGAAAAACCTGCACCTTCCAGACAGGAGCAGGAGTAGGAAACACAGATTGAACTTGGCGGGCTGACGAGAAAGCCTAAAGCCGGCCAGAAGGTAGAAGCCGCCCCTTCCTCTTCCGCTTGGAGTCTGATTGGACAGTTCTCATCCCAGCGCTCCTCATTGGATAAAATACTGTGCCCCTCCCCATGATGCCCTGAGTAACAGCTAATGAGATCCCACCTATTCAAAGCTGCAACCAGGGTTCCTCTTCCCGCAGGGATGGAGCCCTGCCTGGAGGCCATTCGCTTTTAACCTTGTATGTAATGTTAAATCCATTATGAATGATATGTATATTGAAAATTAGAACCTGTAATGGTAAGTATTTTAAAATTTCAAGTTTTGGGCCAGGCGCAGTGGCTCACACCTGTAATCCTAGTGTTAGGCCTGGAGGAAAGAGGAAGACACAGGAAGCCTCATATGTAGCAAAATGCTGTTTACTTTGAGCATCTGGGTGCATATGGGTGGAAGATGAAAAAGGTATCCACGAGAGAAAAGGGGAAAGCCTTGGGTTTTATAGAGGGTTTTTTTTTTGGGGGGGGGGGGAGTAAATAAATTCTTTTCAAACAACCAGGAGGGATATGGAAAGTAATTTCCTCTCTTGCATTCCATTCATATATCTCCCTAGGGAACAACCTGGAGGCATAAGAATAGTCCTTATCAGGGACACTGAAAGTAAGTTCCCCTTATGGGTTTCATTCTCTTATCTCCCTAGGGGCCTGGCAAAGGCTAGGTGCTTAATACACCCCTAGGAAGGAGAGAGTGGTGTGTTTTATAGGAAGTTTGGATGAAAGTTTGGGGACGGTGAGTTCTTTAGGCCTAACATTCCACCCTTTTTATTACATACATGTAAGAAAAGGAAGGGCAAGGTATGAGAAAGAGAAAAAATTAAAAATTAGAAAGATTCAGGCCAGGCGCATGGTGGCTCACATCAGTAATCCTAGCACTCTAGAAAGCCCAGGTGGGCAGATCCTTCAAGCTCAGGAGTTAGAGACCAGCTTGAGCAAAAGCAAGACCCCGTCTCTACTAAAAATAGAAAGAAATTAACTGACCAACTAAAAATATATACAAAAATTAGCCAGGCATGGTGGTGCATGCCTGCAGTCCCAGCTACTCAGGAGGCTGAGACAGAAGGATTGTTTGAGCCCAGGTGTTTGAGGTTGCTGTGAGCTAGGCTGATGCCAGGGCACTCTAGCCAGGGCAACAGAGTGAGACTCTGTCTAAAAAAAAAAAAAGAAAGAAAGAAAGAAGGAAAGGAAGGGAAGGGAGGGAAGCGAGGAAGGGACGGGAGGAAAGAAGGGAGAGAGAAAGAAACAAAGATAGGTTGGGAAACAGGCCTTGTTGTCTTTCCCAGCAGGTTGCCTGCTAGTTTGGGAGAGAAGCAGCAGAGTAGGGAGAGCTCAAGATTGACCTTTAGCTTTATTAGAAAATTAGGAAATTCAAGGCCACTCTAACACCTAGAACTCTGGGAGGCAAAAATGGGAAGATCACTTGAGGTGAGGAGTTTGAGACCAGCCTGAGCATGGGAAAGACCCCATTTCTACTAAAAAATAGGAAAAGAAATTAGCCAGGCAAGTAAAGATTAAAAAAAAAAAAAAGCTGGCCAAGCTGCCCAAGGTAGCATGTGCCTGTAGACCCAACTACTTGGGAGGCTGAGGCAGGAGCATTGCTTGAGCCCAAGAGTTTGAGGTTGCTTTGAGCAAGGCTGATGTCATGGCACTGTAGGCCAAGCAACAGTGCAAGACTGTCTCAAAAAAAAAAAAAAAAAAATTCAGGTTTTCGGTTGGGCATTGTGGCTTGTGCCTGTAATCACAGCACTTTGGGAGGCCAAAGCAAGAGGATCGTTTGAGACCAGGAGTTTGAGGCTAGCCTGGGCAACATACTGAGACTCATCTTACTATTACCAAAAATGTGTAAAAAGGCAGGTATGGTGGTGCATGCCTGTATTCTAAGCTACTCAGGATGCTAAGGCAGCAGGATTGCTTGACCCTATAGATTGGAGGCTACAGTGAGCTATGATTATGCCACTGCACTCTAGTATGCACATCAGTGCAAGACACTGTCTCTAAAATAAATACATAAATAGGCCGGGCGCAGTGGCTCACGCCTGTAATCCTAGCACTCTGGGAGGCCGAGGCAGGAGGATTGCTCGAGGTCAGGAGTTTGAAACCAGCCTGAGCAAGAGTGAGATCCCATCTCTACTATAAATAGAAATTAATTGGCCAACTAATATATATAGAAAAAATGAGCCAGGCATGGTGGCGGACGCCTGTAGTCCCAGCTACTAAGGAGCCTGAGGCAGGAGGATTGCTTGAGCCCAGGAGTTTGAGGTTGCTGTGAGCTAGGCTGACGCCATGGCACTCACTCTAGCCTGGACAACAAAGTGAGACTCTGTCTCAAAAAAATAAATAAAAAATTCTAAAAACTCTAAAATAAATAAAAAATTAAATGAAATAAATAATTTATAACTTTCATGGCCTGTGGTTTTTTGAGGTAGCCTGAGTTTTCCAAATCGAGGCGATCCTCTCAGGCAGCAATGCCTGCTACAACTAAAGTAGCAGTCTCGTGTGTCATTTTATATATTCAACTAGCAACAGAAAAGAAAAACAAATATAAAGTTGATTGTAATAATTTATTTAACTCAATATATCCAAAATATTAGCATTTCAATTTGTGATCAATATATTATTAATAAAGTATTTTGGGTACTTAATCTTTCAAATCCACTCTGTATTTTAAGCTTCCAGAACATCCCGCTTAAGACAACACATTTGGATGTATATATTTGATTTTCCCACTTTTATTTATGTTACAATTGATCAGTGGGGCCAGGGGATGTCTATTTCTTTCATACACTTCCTTATCATGTATCAATTAGTACTTTTCCATTTCACTGAGGGTGGCAAACTATTAGTTTTCTAATTCTGTTCTATCCTCTGCATGAAGTTTTTCTTGATTTTTTTTTCTTTTCTTTTTTTTTCATAAACTCAGGACTGGAATATACTAGTTCTTATTCTTCTATTAAGAGCTGCATTTTCTCATGAGCTCCTCATTACATTCAAATCTAACCTGTCAGGAAAGGAAGGATAAAAGCTTGATTCTTTTTTTATCCATTGTGATGACAATGATGAAGTGACCCCAGCAAACAAAGACGACACATAATATTTTCCCTAATGTTCTTTTTGTATATTTCATAGCATTCAGTACGCTGCAGTTGTATCTATTTTTGAGTTCAAATTGTCCCATCATAGGTCAGTGAGGGACACTTCACATATTACCTCCTGTGTCCTTGTGCCAAAATGAGACCATGTTTCAAGAACTTTCCTATTCTCTGGAACAAATGCATATATGTGTTTCCTTTTATCTTTTACACAATTTACAAATAGATGTCCTATTTGGTATATTCCTTTTTACTTGACTTATAGTGTTTTCTCCCATGCGCAATATCCTGGTTTTATATTGTGTACTTTATCAAACTTATTTTTATTAACATTTCTGGATTTGAGTCACAAGCTGGATTTACTCTCACAACTTGCAGAAATATTTACCAATGTTTTCTTCTACTATTTGCAGGTTTCCAATTTTTTACCATTTATATCTCTTCTCCATTTGTACTTTCTCTTACTCTAGCATAAAGAATAAATCAATTATCTTCTTTATCAGAACAACATTCAGTTCTACAATACTAACTATTGATAAATCCACCCCTTTCTAGTTTTTATTCTGTAATCTCTTTTATGCAGTTTGGTGGATTTCTGTAATTTTCACTGTGCTAGTCTGCTTGCCTGTTTTTGCATCAATACCACACTGCTTCAATTATAGAATGTTTTAAAGTGTTCTTAATGTCATGTAACACCAGAAGTACTCACTGTGGTTTTTTTTTTTGGCTATTCCCATGTTTGTTTTTCCATGTTCACTTCGCAAAATCCTTGCTAGGTTGAAAGGAACTGATGGAGAAAGCCAAGAGTTAGCTTAGTGTTATATTTTGACTAAAAGGCCATCTCAGGGAAACACAATGCAGTGTACAACACGTGCTTCCCTGCCAGGCCCTCTTCTGTCGGACCTCAGCGTTTCATGTTCCCTTCCAAGTGACACCCTGTCTGCCTCCAAGGATCATGGAAAAGGAAGAGCCTCTTCCACACACTCCAATGGTGTCCTTGGACATGCTGATTGAGAGTCTACAATTATTTGGGGGATTAAAGACAGAGTTTTTTTGTTTTTTGAGACAGAGTCTCCCTTTGTTGCCCCAGGCTAGAGTGAGTGCCATGGCGTCAGCCTACCTCACAGCAACCTCAAACTCCTGGGCTCAAGCAATTCTTCTGCCTCAGCCTCCCAAGTAGCTGGGACTACAGGCATGCGCCACCATGCCTGGTTGATTTTTTCTATATATATTAGTTGGCCAATTAATTTCTTTCTATTTATAGTAGAGACGGGGTCTCGCTCTTGCTCAGGCTGGTCTCAAACTCCTGACCTCGAGCAATCCTCCTGCCTCCGCCTCCCAGAGTGCTAGGATTACAGGCGTGAGCCACCACGCCCCGCCCAAGGACAGAGTTTTTCACCAATACTCTGAGCTGCACTCATGTGTACCAGCATTCCCAGAACAGATACAATGGAAATTGCAGTTCTGTGAAGAGGTGTGATCACACAATGGCAAGAGTCTATCTCAGGTTCTCCTGCCTCCCTTCCATACAAGCACTGACTGCCAAAACGATCACACTGAGCCCACAATCCTGAAATCAGGAAGCAGTCAGGAGACTATTTTAGGTCTCAGCCTGACAGGCCCAGGCTGTAAGTGGAAGAGGCTCCTTGGGAGTCTGAGCAAGTGCTCCTCCCTAGAAAGGAAATTATTCTGGCTTAAAACTATTCCACTGCCAAATACACATTATAAAAAAATAATTTCTGAGGTATATATTTCATCTTTTCCATGTGGCATAATATTCTGTTGCATGGATATAACTGTTAAAAATCTGTTGATATGGGGTAGTTTCTTCTTCTTGTCTATTGCCTCCTTTCGCAGCTTCTGTGAACGTTCATGTCCAACTTTTTCTGCACGTTTTATTTCTCATCTGAGCTCCCAGTCAAATCAAACATCCACAATACACTGGGAATGGAGATTGTTACAGGTAGCTGTTACTTTGGACTAAATATTGACTGTCCTCTCATGATTTGTGTAACAACTTTCCTGAGACATCAATGACATATAAAAACTGTATATTTCAGGAGTACAACTTGCCGTACATTGTGAAAAGACTGCCACCATTAATAATTAAGAATATGTCACATGCTTGAAGCTCTTACTTGAGGGGGCAGGTGGGCATGGACAACATAAGTAACCTTAACACTTGTACCCCATAATAGGCTAAAATAAAAAAATACTAAAAATAATAAGATCAGTCAGGAGGTGGCTCATGTATCACTGACTGCTGGACTGAGCCGGCCGAGCTGGGTCAGGAGTTAACAACCTAGCAAGAGCGAGACCCGCTCGACTATAAATAAAAGAAGTAATTGGCCAACTAACATATATAGAAAAATTATCCGGGCATGGTGTGCACCTTATCCCAGCTGATGGAAGCTAGAAGATTGGATGCTTGACCCTAAAGTCAGTTGCTGTGGCAGGTGACTCCAAAGAACACTCTGGCCTGGCACAAAGAGACTGCTGTCTCAATAAAAAAAAAGAAGAAAAAAAATAAATCACTACATAGTACCCTTTGTGTGAGTATAAAGTAATTACTCTTTTAGCAGATTTAATACACAGATACAGATTAACCCATCCCCATTGTTATACAAGAACACACTTATTCATCTCAAACAAAGTAAAATAGATTCTGAGGCAACACGAGTCATGCAAGGACAGTGCACTCCTGTAACCTTCGA